TTGTAGCCGCCCTGTGGGTGCTGGGAATCGAACCCAGGTCCTCTGCAAGAGCAGTCAGTGCTCTTAACCGCTGAGCCATCTCTCCAGCCCTAATGCTATTTTAATTTTATTTTTATATGTATATGTTGTACCTGCATGTATGTACATGCACCACATGTGTGTGCAGTGCCTGTCTAGGCCAGAAGAGGGAGTTGGATCCCCTAGAACTGGAGTTGGGACAGTTGTTAGCCACCAAGTGGGTGCTGGGAACCGAACCTGGGTCCTTGGAAGAGTAGCCAGTGCTCTCAACTGCTGAGCCAACTCTCCAATCCCCAATGTTGTTGTTGTTATTATTATTATTATTATTATTTTATTTTTTTGGTCTTTTTTTGAGACAGGGTCTCCCTGTAGCCCCAGCTGTCCTGGAACTCACTATGTAGACCAGGCTGGCCTTGAACTCAGAGATCCTCCTGCCTCTGCCTCTTGAGTGCTGGGACTAAAGGCATGTGCCACCATGCCTGGCCCCAATGTTATTTTTAAAAATATTTTATTATTTTTATTTTAAGTTTGGCCTGCACGTATGTAAGTGCACCATGTGTGTGAAGTGCTCACAGAGGCCAGAAAAGGGTGTCAGATCCACTGGAACTGGAGTTATATATTGTTAGCTGCCATGTGGCATGTGGGTGCTGGGAATTGAAGCTGAGTCCTCTGGATGAACAGCAGGTGTTATTAACCACTGAGCCATCTCTCCAGCACCCCCATGTTATTTTGTTGTTTTTTTTTTCCTTTGAGGCAGGGTCTCCCTGTAGCCCCAGCTGGCCTGAAACTCTCTATGTAGACCAGGCTGGCCTTGAACTCACAGAGATCTGCCTGCCTCTGCCTCCTGAGTGCTGGGATTAAAGGTGTGTGCCACCACACCCCACACCCGGCTCAATATTTTATTACTTTTATTTTATGTGTATGAGTGTATTGCCTGCATGTATGTAAGTGTACCCATGTCATGCAATGCCCTCAGAGGTCAGAAGAGAGTATCAGATCCCCTGGAACTGTAGTTATGGATGGTTGTTAGCTGCCTTGTGGGTTGCTGGGATTCAAAACCCAGTCCTCTGCAAGAGCAGCCAGTGTTCTTAACTGCTGAGCCCCTCTCCAGTCCCCTCAATGTGTGTGTGTGGGTGTGTGTGTATGTGTGTGTGTGTGTGTGTGTGTGTGTTTTGGTCTTTTTGAGACGGGGTCTCCCTGTAGCCCCAAGCTGACCTGGAACTCACTATGTAGACCAGGCTGGCCTCAAACTCACAGCGATCCGCCTGCCGTTATTTTTAAATTAGGGTTTTGCTATGTAGCTCTAGCTAGCATGGCACTCACTATATAGTCCAGGCTAGCTTTGAACTCATGACAGTCTTCATGCCTCAGCTTCCTGAATGCTGGAATTACAGGCCTGTACCACCATTACCTGACAATAAATATTTTTGCCTTACAACAATATTTCTCTCTAAAAGGAACTGGATGAAGCATTTGGGTTATGACCCTGAAAAGTTGTAATTTTTTTTTATGTGTATGAGTGTATTGCCTGCATGTGTGTAAGTGCACCCATGTTGTGCAATGCCCACGGAGGTCAAAAGGCGGCTGAGGATTTCCTCGGAACTGGAGTTACAGATGGTTGTTAGCCACCATGTGGGTGCTGGGAATCGAACCCAGGTCCTTTGCAAGAGCACTCGGTGCTTTTAACCGCTGAGCCATCTCTCCAGCCCCCAAAAGTTGTAATTTTTTAAAAGATATTTATGTATATGAGTGTCTACGATGTTTGAAAGTGCACCATGTGTACAATGCCTGTGGAGGCCAGAAGAGGGCATCAGATCCCCTGAAGCCTCCTCATGTGGGTATTGGGAACTGAACTCCTGTCCTCTGGAAAAGCAGCAAGTACTTTTTAAAAAAATATATTTTATTTACTATTTTCGTTTTATGTGTATGCGTGTATTGCCTGCATGTAGGTAAGTGCACCCGTGTTGTGCAACGAATGCCTGCAGAGGACAGAAAAGGCCATTGGATCCCTTGAAACTGGAGTTACGGACAGTTGTTAGCTGCCATGTGGGTGCTGGGATTCCAACCCGGATCTTCTGCAAGAACAATCAGTGTTCTTAACTGCTGAGCCATCTCTCCAGTCCCAGCAAGTACTCTTTAAGTGCTGTTCCATCTCTCCAGCCCTAACAGAAGCTGCTATAAAGGGGAAAAGAAAGCCTGGGACTAGGTAATATAAAGGGATAATTAGGCTACTTGTCACACATTAAGGAGGATGACAGAAATAGAGAGCAGTTACAGGCAGTGAGGCAAGTATTATAGCCATGTTTCTGTGGCCATCTCATCTTCCTTTCTGACCCATGTCCAGGCTCCACAGGGCACTTTTCTGTGAACCCCTCAGTGCCCTGCAGGGCACACTTCTGCCCTGTCCCCTCCCCTGCACTACTGCAGTCTTCTTATACACTTCCTGCGCCTACCTCTGCCCCCTCAGCATCTCGACCCCACAGTCACAATGTTTGCTTTTTAAAAAAATTATTAACTGTTTTATTTTTATGTATATGCATGTATTGCCTGCATGTAGATAAGTGCACCTATGTCATACAATGCCCTTGGAGGACAGAAGAGGCCATAGGATCCACTGGAACTAGTTACAGAGTTGCTGGCCGCCATGTGGGTGCTGGGATTTGAACCCAAGTCTTCTGCAAGAACAGCCAGTGTTCTTAACCACTGAGCCATCTCTCCAGCCCGTTTTATTTTATGTGTACGAGTGTATTGCCTGCATGTGAGTGCACCTGTGTCATGCAATGCCCTCAGAGGTCAGAAGGCGGCATCGGATCCCCTGGAACTGGAGTTAAGGACAGTTCGTAGCCCCCATGTGGGTGCTGGGAATCGAACCCGGGTCCTCTGCAGGAGCAGTCAGTGCTCTTAACCGTTGACCCCACAATGGGTTTTTATTATGCCCATGGCTCTGTAGAGCTCCAGCAAATACTCATTGCCCTGAGGAAATCTGCAGACTCCTTTGTTTTTATGAAAGAAGTTTCCCAATGTAGCCCAGGCTGGCTTGGATCTCACAATCCTCCTGACTCGGCCTCGTGAGTGCTGGTACAGATGTACACCACACACAGCAAGTTCAAACTCTAAGGAGCTGTCTTTACTTGCTCCCATTCTAAGCCACCTCATGATTCTGGAAGTACCAGTTTCCAGGGGTCTCTGTACACTGCCTTTCCTCTCATGGGCTTGACGATCACCCACTTTTCCTTCAGGTGACTACCGAAACGCCAACTGATTTGAGATTGTGTTGAGAGAATTGCATCCTGGATCTGGGTCTGAACAAGGATCCGCCCTGAACCTCCTGGGCTCCAGCTAGCCTCAAGCAGCAGTCCAGCCCATCACATCATTACTTGTAACATCTTCTGCTAGGGGCAGCAGGAGGGGACGTGGCTGGCAGCCTGGGGCTTGGGGCTTGGCTGGCAGAACTCAAATCCAGGTCCTGCTGCTTATGGTCACTGTGCAGGGTGTCTAGTCCCCGAGTGTCCTTTTCTGCACCTTGAACCAGGGATGGCAATACTCCCCACTCCAGATGTCCTGAAGGAATGCAGGTGCTAGAGAAAAGGGGCTTGGACACAGAGGCCCAGGTATGGTCACTTCAATAGGTTGGCTTTTTATAGAAATGCCTACTGTTGTGTGGGGTTTGCTTGCAAATAACAGGGATTCAGAGCAAACATTTTCTTTTTCCTCAGGTCTCGTTCTGTAGCCCAAGTTGGTCTGACTTGGAGCTCACTTTGTAGCTCAAGCTTGCCTTTAACTAGAGACAATATTCCATCCTCAGCCTTGAGTGTTCAGATTACATATGTGAACCACCACACCTGGCCAGAGAAAATACTTTCTAATAAATGAGGACAGATTCCAATGGGTGTTGATGAATTCTATGAATCCAATCACCAAGAACACAGCAGTTTATGACCTGTGCGGGCAACTCAGTGAAAGAGCATCTGCCTTGCACGTGTGGGGTTCTAGTACCACAAAGAAAGCCCAAACAAAACCTCCTAAGAATACAGCAGTTTAATGGGTCCAAGACCAAGGCTACAGACTGTTGGCAAGTGAGCTAGGTCCCTGTTCAGAAGAGCGGAGATGGAAGCTGCACCAGGCCTTCCCTGTGGCACTCTCCTTTGTCCACCCACCCAGACGGAATGTGAGGAATCACCCCAGACAGAAGCTGCTTTGGGAGCAACTGTAATTGCCTGCTGAGGCCTGCTGGGTCTGCTGGGCCAATACCACTCTCCTGCCCCTCAACTGAAGCCTCACCAGGGTTCTTGGCCTGTATGTAGAAGATGGTGAAGACCAGAGGAGCAGCAGCAGCCTGGGAGTATGGCCCTCAGAGTCCCAGTGCTACCTTCCACCCTCTGGGCAGTGGCTCTAACTAGCTTTCTTCCTCCTCTGCCCCTCCTCACACCCCACCACTGCCTATAGCTTCCCACTCAAGCCTCTGACAGGGTCTTAGATGGGGAGGAGGAATCAGGTGAGGCTAAAGTCCATGACGCTGATCACTGGGCAGTGCTGGAAATGAGGTGAGGATGTGTGTAGGCCAGGCTCAGGGTGGGCATGGAACACTGCCTGAATCCCAGGAGCACATCAAACTGGAAGAATCTGGCTGGGTACGGCATGGTGTCGTCCCTGTCCTTGGCCAGGCCTCCCATTCAGCTGGGAGGCCCTTCTCCATATCCCTCTCAGGTAGAAGTCTGCTGTGACAACCCCCTACGGCCCTGAGATACGCACTCCCTCAGAAATAGCCCAGGCACAGATTCCCAGTAGCTGTCTGTAGAGAGAGAGGAGGGCGTCATGAGCTGGGGGCTCATTATGGGACAGGAGTGAGCTGTCAGTGGTGAGCCAGCCTCAACATCACCACAGCCTGGGCAAAGGCTGCCTCTCAGTCGCAGCCCGAGGGCTTGGGAAGAACACACAGGTACCCTGTCCACACAGAGTTGAACTCGGGCCCCGGGCAGTGCACCACCTCCCATGCTCCTCCTTGGAGTTGGCAGCTGAGCAGTGGGAGAGAACTCCAGGTCTGGACGCTTCACTGAGGAGCAAGTGGCCCTTTTCAGACTGAATGTGATGCCATATTGTAGGGTGCTTTCTTCAGAGTCTCCAGGAAGAACTGTTCATTCTCCAAGAAGTCATGGTCCTGTAGGGCAGATTCAATGAGTGTTAACAGTTCTGTGCACTGACAGGGGGATTCTGGGAACTGGTGGAGTTGGCCTGCACTTACTCCTGGCTGTGGGAGGCAGGGGGTGGTGCGCTGGTTATAGAGTGAGACAGGCCATGGTGTCAGTCCTGGCAAGGACCTGAGAACCCTGGAACTTACCAGCACATGACCACATGTCTCTTAAGTCTCAGTTTTCTCATCTGTAAACTGGGGATAAGAACATTTCATAGTGGGGCTGGAGAGATGGCTCAGTGGTTAAGAACACTGACTGTTCTTGCAGAAGACCCGGGTTCAAATCCCAGCACCCACGTGGCAGCTAACAACTGTCTGTAACTCCAGTTCCAGGGGATCCAATGGCTTCTTCTGTCTTCCATGACATGGGTACACTTATCTACATGCAGGCAATACATGCATACACATAAAAGAAATTATTTAAAAAAAAGAACATCTCACAGCTGGGTATGGTGCCTCACACCTGCACTTCCAGCAACTAGAAGGTTGAGGAAGGAAGACTGCAAGTTCAAGGACTGCTTGGACTACAGAGTGAGTTCAAGTCCAACCTGGGCAACTTAGGAAGATATGTCTCAAAAAAAAAAAGGTGGCTAGGATATAGCTTAATAGCTCAGTAGAAGAATGCTTGTCTAAAGTGTGAGGCCCCAGGTTCAATCCCTAGTACCATAAAACAAAAACGTCTTCCCTCACATAGGACTGTGATGCAGTTTGATGCACATGAAGCCTGTGGCTTTGAGCCCAGCATGCAGGACGTGCTCCTTGAGTGACAGCTGCTATCACAGGTTATTTGACGTTCGAGAGGCTACATGCCAACTTCTTATCAAGCTCAGCCTAGACCAGGGGTCTCAGAAGCTGTGTATGAAACACTATTCTTTTATTTCTTTAAATTCTTTTTTTTTTTTTTAATTGGTCTTTTTGAGACAGGGTCTCCCTGTAGCTCCAGCTGTCCTGGAACTCACTAGGTAGACCAGGCTGGCCTTGAACTCACAGAGATCCACCTGCCTCTGCCTCTCGAGTGCTGGGATTAAAGGCGTGCGCCACTATGCCTGGCTTATTTCTTTAAATTCTAACTTCACTTTGAAATTTCAGAGCTGACTGTTTTTGAAAGGGGAGGTGGTCCTGGGGATTGAACATGTCAGGCCTGGAACATGCCAGGCAGGTGCTCTATTACTGAGTATATCCCCGACCGTAGCTGTCTACTTTGTTGCTCCCCTCTGTGAGCAGGGATCAGCCTTCCTCGGGGTCATGAGACCCTGTGCTGCTCTGTCCCACCCTGTGGGACTCTGCCTGTCTAGTGTGAATGTGAGGACTCAGGACACTTACCTCCTCGGCTGTGCGCTTGAGCAGCAGCAGCTTGGCAAGAAGCTGAGTGGGAATGGGGGCAGCAGGGGACCGGCTGTATTGAGAAGTGCTGGGAGCCAGGGCCTGGGGAGCTAAGGAGACAGCCAGGAGTCAAGTCATCAGGGAGAAAACAGAGGTCACACTTTTTCCCTCAGAACTTGCACCCGCACTGACCACAGAAGGAGCCTGGCCAAACACGCTGGGGGCAAATGGACCCTGTTCTCAAGAACCTTTGAAAAGCCCTCACATGGTCCTACCTAACAACCTATTTCTAGGAATTTATTCAAGGAAAGCAATCAGGTAAGGTACCAGGATGGAGGGATGAAGGTTCCAGTGAAGTGCTGTTTTGTCTAGTGACAACAAATCCCGCAGTATGAAACAGTAATACTAAGTTATTCCGATAAGAGCCATTAAACGTTCAACTACCTACGTGAAAACATGTTCTCCATGTATATCACTGAGTGGAAAAGTTTCCTCCTCTATTTCTGATTTCCTTCTTGTATAAAAAGGATTGACAAGGGCTGGGGGGCCAGCTCAGTGACTACGAACACTTTCTGTGTAAGTAGTAAGACTAAGTTTAAATCCTAACACTAAAAACTGGCCATGGCCATGCGCTAGCCTCCAATCCCAGTGCTGAGGGAGCTCCTAGAGCTCGCTGGCCAGTTAGTCTAACCAAAAAGGAGAGCCCAGGTTCAGTAAGAAGCAACAAGGCAGGCAGTGAGAGCAGAGTATCCTGTGTCCACCTCTGGTCTCTGCATGTGCATAGCGCACGCACTGCCCACCCCCCATTAACAGAGACAGACAGACAGACAGACCTGGTGGTGTATGCCTGTAATCTAAGCATTCGGGAACTGGGGAGATGGGAGGAGCACTGTGAATTCAAGGTGGCCTGGTCTACGCAGCAAACCTCTGTCTCAAGAAACCAAAAACTAGGGTGCTAGAGAGATGGCTGAACAGTTAAGAGTGCATGTTGCTCTTGCAGAGGACCAAACTCAGTTCCTAGCACCCACCCATGTTGGCAGGTCACAACAGCCTGTAACTACAGCTTCAGGGGACCCTATGCCCTCCTCTGACATTCAGATTCATACACTCCCAAACATATATACGAAATTAAAAATAAGTCTTAAAAGGAGTGACAGGGCTAGAGAGATGGCTTGGTAGTTAAGAGCACTTGCTGTGCAATCATGATGATCAGAGTTCATATCCCAGCACCCACATAACAAGCTGGTGTCCTGCAAACACCTACTCAAGCTCTGAAGGATCCAAGTCCTTCTTGTGGCCTCTATACACAGGTGTGTGTACCCTGACATACATGTGTGCATACACTCACATAGATATATCATACATGCATGAATAAAAAAAAAAAAAAACCTTGCCAGGCGTGGTAGTACACACCTTTAATCCCAGCACTTGGGAGGCAGAGGCAGGCGGATCTTTGTGAGTTCGAGGCCAGCCTGGTCTACATACTGAGTTCCAGGACAGCTAGGGCTACAAGGAGACCCTGTCTCAAGAAAAAAGAAAAAAAAATCTTAAAAAAATAAAGAAGAGCCAGGCGAGATGGTGTATGCCTTTAATCCTAGCACTCAAGGAGGCAGAGGCAGGTGGATCTCTCTGAGACTGAGGCCAGCCTGGTCTACATAGCAAGTATCAGGCCAGTTGGGACTATAAGGAGACCCTGTTTCAAAAATACCAAACAAAAAAGGAAGAAGTAATATGACTTGAAAACCTATTTGGGTTGTGGCACACCTGCGGTGCAGCACTCAGGAAGCTGAGGCAGGAGGATCTGAGTTTGAGCCCAGCCTGGGCTACATAATGAGACCCTTCCTCCTAAAAGAACAAAACCCAAAACAAAGAGTTTCAGCCAGCCCCCACTTAAACAGCTGAAGGACGTCCCACTGGCTCCTGCTGGGGGCTAGCTCAGCTGTGCCTATCCTCCTGGAGTCACTTACCATCCAGGCTGGAGGCTGCTGGACCCTGAACTCTGGAGGGCAGCCCTAGAAGGCTAGAAGGCAAGTCCTGTCGCACACGGTTCAGCTGTAGCCTCTGCTGAGCTAGGCTCAGGTGCTCCTGTTCCCAGCCCCAGAGAGAGACTCAGTGTGGAGGGAAGGTGAGCAGGGCTTGTGGGCAGGATGGGCTTGAGAGGAAGGATGGGCTGAGGGCAGGATGGCCTTGAGAGGAAGGACGGGCTGAGGGCAGGACGGGCTTGAGAGGAAGGACGGGCTAAGGGCAGGACGGGCTTGAGAGGAAGGACGGGCTGAGGGCAGGACGGGCTTGAGAGGAAGGACGGGCTGAGGGCAGGACAGGCTGAGGGCAGGAGAGCAGAGACTAGGGCCTTGCCTGATGCACGTGCTGCTCCTGCTGCCGCAGCCACTCCTGCTGCCGCTGTACTGCCTGCAGGCGTTCCTGCTGCTCACACTGCATCTGCCGGGCCTCCTGCAGGGCCTGCTCACCCTCCTGGTACTTCTTGGAGGCCACCTGCAGGGAGGCTGGCAGAGTCAGAGCTGGGTAGAGGCAAAGGTGGCCCATATCACACACCTGCCAAGGCACACCTTGCTCATGTGTTCCACCTCCTGGGCACGGGCCTGAAGACGCAGGCTGGCTTTGTGGAGTCTGTCTTTCTCCAGCCGCAGCTCCTGTCTCTCCCTCTCCACAGCCTCCCTTTCAGCAGCCAGCTTCTCCTCCTTGGCCCGGAGCTCACAGGCCCTGACAGTCAGCTCTGCCTGCTCCTGCAGAAGATGGAATCCTTGCTGCGGTCACCTTGAGAGCAATACCAGGCTCTCACCTCCAGAGGGACGCGGGGCTCTGAGCAGCCTCTGGGGGGGCGGGACGCCTTCTGTCAACTCTGCCTCTGGGAGCCGGCAGTGGAGCAAGGAGCTTCTGGGATGGGTTGGGTTGGAGAGGCCTGGGGCCAAGCCCAGTGCTCCCTCACAAGCCACACAACTGTAGCGTGCTCATCTTTTCTGAACATCCGTTTCCCGTTTCTAAAACATCTGTCATAGGAACCAATGAGCAATGAAAAAAATATGCCAATTGCTTCAGAAAATGTGATATTGTGACTAATGTAATTTCGGTGTCTTGTGGTCTCTGCTGTGCTGATTTCCTAAGCTGGGAGCTCTTGCAGACAGGGGGGAAGGCCAGGGCCACCCTCTGCCCTTCTGGATGCTCTGGGCCCTACCTTGGTCAGGCTGATGAGGGTGCCCTCCCGCTGGGAGTCCACATGCAGCGCCCGCTCAGCCTCGCGCTCAGCCCGCTCCTTACTCAGCTTCTGCTGTGTGAAATACTCGGCCCATTCGGCTGCCAGGCGCCTCCGCTCCTCCCCACACTTATGCATGACCGACTTCTGCTCCTCTAGCAGGGCGCTCTGTGTTGGGGGAAGGCATGGGATGAGTGTCTGTGGCAGTAATGGTGGAGTGAGAAGCTGAGTGTGGCGTCGGGCTCACCTTGGCCCTCTCTAGCTCCTCCCTCTCCATGGAGATCTGCTGGACCATGACCTTCCTCTGCTCCTCTAGAGTCCGCTGCGCAGACTCGGCCTTAGACTTCTCGGCAGTCACTCGCCAGCGTTCCTGCAGGTCCAGGACAGGGCTGAGGGCTGCTCACCCTGGCAGCAGCTGCTCTGGAAGAGCTGTGCAAACCTACTGACCACTCACTCCTATGCTAAGCCACAAGTGCCTCATTCCCAAAGAGGCGCAGTGACCCGTGCTTTGGAGGCACTGCCCGGGCCTAGCTCCTGCGATTCTGAATGACATGCAGAGTTCATACTTACCACAGCTGGGGAAGTTAAAGGCCATTTAGGAGGAAAGAGTATGTGTCACAATGCCATAGGCATCAGCTGATAGGACCTGAGCACCGGGAGGAAGAGGAAGTGCAGTGATGGTGGGGGTGGCCCTGAGGCTGGCAGCTGAGGAGTAGGTGAGGACAGAAGAGGCAGGAGGGTCACACAGAGGAGTCTGGGCCTTGGCGACTGACTGGTTGAGGTGAGGTGGGAGAAGAGCCGAGTCCTTCACAGGCAGTACTCGGGTACAGAGGCCCTGTGCAGGAGGCCAGGCTCACCTGTTCCAGGAGACGGCTCTGCTCATTCAGGCGCACCTCCATCTTCCCTATGACCTCTTGAAGCCGGCCACGCTCCTCCTCCATGTCCCGTTGCTGCCGGCCTAGCCGTTCCTGCAGAACTGGGGGTGGCCCACAGGGGGCTCACTGCCTGCCCTCCTTCCCAGTGGTGGAGTGGGGAGGTGGGGCAGGTTACAGAGATGGCGAGCTACCTCGCAACTGCTCATCCTGCTGCCGGATCCCCAACTCTCTTTCCTGTGAGGTGGTGAGGTGTGAGGCCTCTACACGGGAGGAAAGCGCGGTCAAGCTGCTGGAAAACTTCTCCATCTGCTCAATGATGCCGTTCAGGGACCTGGAGGATGATCAGAACACCTCGTCCTGGGAACGCCCAGGCCTAGCCTCTAGGGCAGGCAGTGCTAGGCAGCACACATACCGAGTATGGGAGGTGGCACTGGTGACAGCATCAATCTCTTGGTCTTTCAGCATCTTCAGCCGCTGCAACTGGTGCTCGTGGTCCTTACGCATCTCCAGGATGGATGCCCTGAGGAGATGGAGGCAGAGGCAAGGAAGGTCAAGAGCCTCTGTGAGCAGGACCACACAGACGGAAGGCACCAGTGAACACAGAAGGAACATGCCTCGGCACTATCTCCTCCGTTCATCCTCCAGGTACAGCTCTGGTGCCTCAGTGTCCTTGGCTCCTCTATCTCATCTTTTTCAATATTTTGTTTTATGAGAGCTTTCTCTGCATGTGTGTAAGTGCAATACAGGCATGCAATGCCCACACAGGCCCGAAGGGGGTGTTGTATCCCCTGGAACTAGAGTTACAGACAGTTGTTAGCTGCCATGTGGATACTGGGAACCTATCCTGGGTCCTCTGCAAGAGTAGCCAGGACTCTTAACCCTAGAGCATCCCTCCAATCCCAGGGCTCTTCTCTCTTGATGCTCCCTTTCTTTTTATCCCTCTCTATTGCTGCTTCCATGCTCCATGCACCAAGAGATTTGTTCTGTTACTCAGCAAAGGCCATCTTGCACAGAGCAGGGGAAAGCTCTGTGCATAGCATGGCTGGCCCATGTGGCAGTCTTAGATGGGCTGCTGTGCCCTCATAGGCTCTATGGTATCTTTTCTTAGTTTCATTAAGAAAGACTGCACCAGGTGCAGAAACCACCCTTCCCAGGGTAGAGCTGTTAGGGACCCCTGCTGTTTAGGGTAGCAGTCTCCCCATGTCCGGATAGCCGCAAGCAAGCTGGCTCGGCGCGAATGGGGAGACTCCCCTTCTCAGCGGGGCGCCTTCTGCTCTCCTCCCTGACTTACTTTTGAAGTGCCCGTCACAAGATACATGCCCTCCGGCACAGGAGCTACCAGGTTTTAATCAGGCGTTGTCTGATAGCCTGATAGAAGCCCACCGCCCTATGTAAATGGGGCATTCCAGGAGTACCTATCAGCTAAGGCTTCTTCTACTGTCCGTTTCAATTTCCACCATGCACTCTCTCTAAGTTCGAGACCTGTTGGCCACCAGGTGGTGCCAGGGGAGGTGCGAGAAACAGAACCCGACCGGGCAGCTGACAGTGGTCCTAGAGCCGCCAGCTCCGGTAGCAGAGATCCACGGCAACGCGGTGCGCGAAACCCGCGCACCCCAGCGGCAGAGAGCCAGGGGCCCGAACAGCAGACACGGCCACCCGCGCACCCCAGCGGCAGAGAGCCAGGGGCCCGAACAGCAGACGTGGCCCGCAGGACCCGCTACACTCCAGCGCCACAGGACCCGCTGCACTCCAGCTACGTGTGGGAGACCTGCGCCACGCCCAGCAGCTGGCGCCCCGAGATCCCCGCTCGCCCATAAGAGCTAGTCAGCAGCCTCACTGGCCTGGCAGGTGAATGTATTAACCTGGGCCTAGCTAAGTTCTTTGTGCTGCCATGCCTTGCCTAAACAGCAACGGGACTGTGTGTGACTCCCCTAGGCCCCCACCCCACCATGAGGGGCAATGAACTGGGGAGTTTAGCTCTGTGTTAAAGGGAAGGGTGAGTCTCTGTGCAGAGGCTGCAGAGCACACTTGTGGTCTCACAGGCACTGCTGTTCTCTAGCCAGCCCTCACAAGCACACCCCCCCCCCACTTACTGCTGCAGCTCCCGGAGTCGTGCCACCTCCTGGTCCTTCTCCTGTGCAGCCGCAGCCAAGTGCCGCTGGTGCTGGGCTATGAGCTCGGCCTGGGCCTGCTCAGCCTCCCGACAGTGCAACACATGCTTAGCTGACAGAGCCTCATTCTCTCTTCGGAGCTGCTCTTCCCGCTGCTGGTATGATGTTTCGAGCACCTTGATGCGGCTTCTGTCAACAGAACACCCACCTAAAGGCCCTTGCTGAACACACTGGCAAGCTCCTGGGGCTCAGGAGGTGATCCAAATCACAGCTCAGGGAAGACCCAAGCCTGGAAGGCCATGGGCAGAAGCCTGCTGGTGGGTACCTATGCGCATCCTCAATGAGCTCCAAGTCTGCTTGGTGCCGCTGTTGCAAACTCTCTAGCAGCATCCTGTGCTGGGCCCGCTCCATCTCCAGCTTCCGCACCTAGGCATGGTGTGGTCCCTCAGTGTCTGTACTCCATGCCTTGTGCCTCTAGTCCGTCCACCCTCTTGTGAAGTCTCCAATCACTTCCCATGAGGACTGTTACACACCCTGCCCTGTGGTTCTCACCTGGGCCTCCAGCTCTGAAAGCTTGGTCTGGCTCTGCAGCAGCTCAGCCTGAAGCTGGGCAGTGCTGCTCTGAAGCTGCCCTTGGGCTGCCAGGAGCTGCTTCTGGTATGCTGAGCCTGGCAGCAGACTCTGCATCAGGGACTCTGAGAGCAAAGACTGTGGAAGAGGATGAGAGGTGTTCCAGGTTAGGAGGGGACAGGATCCCAGCTGAGCCAAAGTGCTAATGGAGGAACACCACAGTGGGTGGGCTGATACACCACACCTAGCTGATACATTCTTTCTAATAGACTGTCTTGTCTAGTTCCCACAGTTGCCTCTGAGCAGGGGAGAACTGTTCCCTGGGCCCAAGACCTATACCTGTTTGTCTACCTTCCCTACCTGGACAGGCAGAGAAGGTCTGGTGGGTTCCTGGGAATGTGGGACAGAAATCACAGGCTCTAAAAATTTGAAAACAGAAAAATAGTAAGAGGATCAGAGAAATGCAGAGCCCTGGGCCTGCCTGTGTCTGGGAAGAGTCCCTTGTCCCTTATCTTCCAGGAGCCCCAGAGGAGCTCAAGGTACCTCTTCCTTCCCCAGGGTTAAACCCCGAAACAGAAAACGAACCAGTGCTGCAGAGGTCTCCAGAGGCAGAGGCCATTCCCTTCTTGGGGTCACCTACAGGGAGGACCACAGTGGCCTGGCTCCAACTCATGGAAGACCTGGGGACACATTGATGGGGCAGATTGGATGGCTTCTGTGTAAGACAGGCAGAGAAGGGGAAACATAGAAAAACTCTGGGTCTAAATAACTAGGTGCAGAGGTCTAGGGGCTGGCACTCTACTATGAATGAACCCTGGCTGGGCAGGTGGCTGGTAAAGGTGAGACACAGCCTCCGACAGCTCTGCCATCAGGAGCCCAGGCACAGACACTGAATACAACACAGCCAGTTAGCCACCCTGGGTCCCAGCACAGCCATCCACTGTCTATCTCTTGGGAAGAAGGCCCAGGCTAGCCCTACTACCTCCCACACCCTCTTAGTCGACTTCATACCCTGTGACATCAGGCCTGGCAGCTGGAATTCCTTGTGTAGTTGATCTTGAAGCTTCTCCAGCAGTTGCCTGTTCAAGAACTTGAGTGCTAACAACAGGCTGACTGGGGAAAGTCCATGTTAAAGGTGAAGGTACAGTAGGCTACATGAAGATGGCCCCAGACCAGCTCCCAGCGTTAAGCGGTGATGCTCCCCTTTCCCTGCTTCTGTTCTCACCACCTTCTGGAGAATTCTCTTTCCCAGGCAGAGTTCCTGTGGTCTGAGGGTCCCTTGTAGTCCCAGCTGCCTACCTTAGCATCCACTGTGGTTCAGTAACTGGACACTGGACGTGCTACACACACTGGAGGGAGTGAGGTTCAAGCTCAAGCCTGTCATGATGTCCCTGGGCTTTCACTAAACGGAACCATCTCCTCCACTTGGTTCTGGATGCAAAGCATCTTACCACTTCCTGTGGACGTGGCCTTCCCAGTCCCTTTTGCCTTCCTGCTCAGAGGTTGCCCACCACCCAGCCTCACTAGACTATCTTCCATGGTTCTCAGGAGCTGCCTCTCAGCCTCCATGTCTTCTCAGAGACTTCCAGGAGGACACAGGAAGCTCACTTCACACATGCTTTAGCCACTTTAGCTTGGGCCAACAGAAACACTAATATTTGGCACAGTGGTTTCTTTGCCAGCCTGATGGTATTGTGGACAGGGCCTTTGCCCAGAGGAAGAGGCTAGTGAGTGGATCCTGCCACCTCAGGGCACTCTCTGTCCTTTCCTGCCTGATCCAGTGACATGTCTCCATGGCAGTCAGGTATGAGTGCCACCAGTCTCTAGCCCACCTTGTCCACACCTGGGCAGCTCTGTTGTACCCATGAGGAAGAGGCAAAGCAGAGAATTGGCATTACTACCCGTGGCAGCATCTCCAACAGAGGATGGGACAGAAGTGCAAGTCTAGTCCTATAGGCCCTGCCCAGTCTTCCCCACCAAGTGCACAGCCCAAGCCCATACCTGCCAGAAGACGGGTGGCCCAATGTCCCCACTGAGTTTGGGCCCTTATAGGGCCTAGCACGCTCCTCTCTGGCTAGACCTGGGGACTTCTTCTGAGACAAGATGTGGCTCAACCAGTCCTCTCCTTCTTCCTCAGACTCCCTGAGTGCGGAGGCCTGGCTGGCTTTGGCAGGGAGCCTTGCACCCTTGGTTGGGGGCTCTGCTGCTGAAGGTAGTACAGTTAAGGCAGAGTGCTGGCTTGCCAGAACGGGTAGAGAGGGTATGGAGATGGCTGAGCCTTCTTGCTGGGCCTCTTGGATGGGAGAGGGAGGAAGCAGGTCCAGGTCATCATCCTTGAGGCCTAACCAGTCAGCTCCGCCCTTCTTGGGGTGGACAGGGCTGGAAGCTACTGGAGGGCTCTGTTTGAAGTTGGGGTCTCCCTTAGAGTCTGAGGCACCTTCTAAAAACCTGCTTCAAGGCAGAGAGGAAGGTGCTGGTTAAGGGAGGAAGTCTGTACACTAGCCCCATACCAGCCTTTCTTTCTGCAGCTGGGGGTTATATTGCAGTCCATAGCAAACTGAGCACAGTGGGTCACACCTATAATCCCAGCACTTGGGAGGCTGAGGCAAGCTGCAAAGACTGTTTTAAAAACAACAGCAAAAACAACAACAAAAACAACAAAAATTCCATAGCAGCTGGTGTGATGGTGCATGCCTGCTATCCCACTATCCCAGCATTCTACCCTCCTCTGCCAGGAGTGTTAGGAGCCCACAGCCTCCCTTTCCCTTCAGCACCTTCAGAGCCCACTGCCTTGTACCAAGCTGTTCAAGGCTGCCAGGTAGGATGGGGAAGGATATCCCAGAACTGAGCTCCCTGCGGGCCCCACTTACCTGACTGACTGCCTTCGAGACTGACGGCCCTCAGAGGAGGCCACAGTGGGCTGGTAAGCCCCAAAGGTGAGGATCTCATCACCCCAGCTGTCTTCTTTGTCTGTAAATTAAGGAACTTGTGAACATGACTGAGAACAAAGGAAGTCAAGCCTTTTACAGGGTCTGGCACATGCTAGGCAAGTACTTTACCGCTGAGCAACACCTCAGCCCCACAGAAGCGAACTTAATGAGTGGTGACCATCAGTCAAGCAGCAGCTCCACAATGCAACAGGGTGCTAGACTGGCTACAGGAAAGTTATCTCATGACACAGCAGGCTCAGTGACAGATGTATTTAGCAATGTATGTCCCCTGATGTGAAGCTTTTGTTATAGGTTATGGTAAAGATGTGGTTTAAGCTGGGTATGGTGGCTCACACCTATAATCCTAGCACTTGGGAGGCTGAGGCAGGAAAATTGCCACGAACCCAAGGCTAGCCTAGAGTAACCTCCTGTCTCAAAAAAGAAGAAAACAAACAAACAAACAAACAAACAAAAAAAAACCCCAGCCACCTTGTCAAGAGACCTCTGTTCTCCCTGCTACCACCCTCTCACCCCACCCCCATCTGGCCCTCTGGGCTTCCTCACCCTCCAGCTTCTGGTACTCCTGGTCTAGCTTCAACTCCCTGTGTTCCCCAGTGGCTGGGCGAGTGAGGAGCTTGGTAGCTGTGCCTCGACCCAGCAGCTCATCCAGCTTGAAGCGAGCAGGGAGGGGCCCTTCCCTGTGGAACAGGATGCAGGGAACGAGTGTATGATGACATGGGTTCCCATGTATCCCTACTTTTAAGCTTTTCCCTGGGCCTTAGGCCAACAGCCTGGCTAGGGACTCCCCTCTTCATAAGGCTCCTTACTGGTCTCCCATCTTTCTCCTCTCTGCGTTGGGGCTGTCTTCAAAACCCAGAGTGGCCATGATGTCGTCCCCTTCATCAAACAATTCTTTCTTTCGGATAGGAGTGTCCCCAGGAGTTAGAGGAACAGAAGGACCTAAGAGACAGAATCAGGGCCCAAAGCGGGAGGTGGGCGGGAGGTGGGGTTGCAGCCTTTAGCTTTGGATGGAAGCAATGGGTACCACTTCTGTCTGGTTTCCTCAGGAACCCTGACTCTAACCCTACCCTAGGCTCATACATTTACCTCCTTATTCCTAGAACCTGATAATCTCTTGGTTTGACAGAAAAGACCCAGAGGCCTGCCCTGCTGAGGTCTCTGGTTCTGAACTAGAAAGCTCAGTGAGCCTGTTGTCAACAGACTCTGCCCCAGAACCAGGAATAAGCCTCTCCATGCTACCTTGGCCTTCAGTTGTGTTGGGGCTCTTGTTGGAAGCAGGTTTACCCTCCACCACAGGTGGCTTCTTGGGAGTTTCTTCCTCCTCGTCAGAGAGAAGTCCTGTCAGTGGGTCTTTGAAGTCTCATGGGCAGAAAGAAAGACAGAGGTCATATTGCTGCCCTTTGCTTAGGAAAAACGAGCCTGAAGCAGGGCAGCCACAGAGCATACACAAGCTCTGTAGCATCTACAAGGTGGACCCTATGGCAAGGTGGGGGTGGGGGTGGGGGTGGGGTAGGAGGTAGGTTGGACCCAGAGGGGTTTGAGCTAGGGCAGAGGAAGCTGGGAGGTTGGACAAACTCTGGAGCCTCTGGCTGGTCACATGGGCTCCTAGAAATGCCCCTACGGCATGAGTGCATTCACTAGAAAAAGGGATCTTTTCTTATACTTTAGAATCTTTAGTTTGATGCCTGGCTTCAAAGTCTTTGCAAGGAAACTTTTTATTTATTTATTTTTTGCCTTTTTGAGACAGAGTCTCCCTGTAGCCCCAGCTGACCTGGAACTTGTTATGTAGACCAGGCTGGCCTTGAACTCATAGAGATCCACCTGCCTCTGCCTGCCAAGTGCTGGGATTAAAGGCGTGCACCACCACACCTGGCACAAGTAAACTTTTTAAATACCCTGGCCAAGGGGCTGCACAGATGGCTCAGCAGTTAAAAGCACTGGCTGCTCTTACAGAAGACCTGGGTTCAGCTCCCAGCACTGACATGGTGGCTAACAACTGTCTGTAACTCCAGTTCCATGGGCACTGACACCCTCTTCTGACCTCCGTGGGCACTGCATGCACAAGTGCACTTATGTATATGCATGCCAAATAGTCATAAAATAAACCAATCAAAAAAATTTTAATATCCTGGTCAATATAGCACAATTAGTCTCTGGCAATTCCTGAGGACTAGATTGGGATGCCAACTCTCTGTTCCTCTGATACACACAGCAACTTGGCCTTCAGCAGTCAGCAACCATTATCCAACTACTCTCAAGCCAAGTGTTCCAGAGTAGGGCTGGGGGCATCTGGTACCTTCAAAGGAAAACTGGTATTGAAGTCCACAGCTGCTGAAAGAAGACGCAGGCTTCTTAGTAGGAATGGTGTCCCCTAGAGGAAGGAGAGAAGGCAGTCATGGGCCTGGGTCCTGCCCAAGGGCTTCCTCCACACCTGTACTGGAGCCCCTGGGATAGACAGCATTTCATACTGGAAACTGAGGCTCTTGGCTATAGGCACAGCCATGGAGGAATCCATACCCCCATTCTGAACTGGAACTCGGGAAGGGAAGCATGGAGGGAAGCTGCCTGGTCCTCATCAGGAATCACTCTGGAGATGCAGGTATGGGAAATAAACACTATTTTTGCAGTGTTGGGGATGGAGCCCTATGCTGGGCACAGGCAAGTGCTCTAGCATCGAGCTATATTCCCCAGCCAAACTGTTCGTTTTAATTAAAAAAGGCTCCTCTAGAAGCTGCCCAGGTTGGACTTACGAGGGCCTTTAAGGTCCTTTCCCATATAGTTAGTTCCTTGCCTTCTATCTCAGACAGAGAAAGCTCACAGGACAGAAGAGCTATCCACCATGTACCTTTCTCATTAGCTGTTAATGTGCTAACAGGTTTGGGATGGCTAGGAACTTCTTTCCCAGAAATCTTTGCAGCTCCTTTGCCAGAGGATGAATGAGACTTTACCCGGCCAAAGAGATCAGCATCCATGTCATCCAGATCCTAGGATAGTGGGAAGGATGGAGCTTGATGTCTGGGGAGGTACTATGGATTAGATCTTTAGGCTTCCCCAAAAGTTCCTAAGAAAAGGTCTGGCCTCAGGGTGGTGGTATTAGGAAAGGGGGCCTTGTGGAAGGTCCTTGGTCACTGGGGGCATGCCCTTGAAAGATCTGTAGACCTCACCCACCCTTTTTCTCTGCTGCAGTTCAAGATGGGACCAGGATGTGTTCCTGCTGCCCTCACCAGAAGCCAAGTCAATCCCCACTCACAACCTCATCCTGGAGTCTAAACCTCTCAAACAGCTAGGTAAACTTTCTCTCTGTAAATTAGTAATCTTGAGTATTTCACTGTGGCAACGCAAAGTTGACTATACTGAGGGGATGAGAACTTCCAGCTGAGGAGGGCAGCAGCACCTGGGGCAGAATTGTGAGAGGACAAAGGAAGAAGAGAAAAATGTGGAGAGAAATGGAGCCTTAGGAAAGAAAATGGAGCCAAAGGTATGCGGAGGGCGGGAGTAGGAATTGGTTCAGGCACTGGAATGATTCAAGTCACTGCTAGAAACCAAGGCCATGGCCCACTGGTCTTGGGGAGAAAATTTAAGTTGAGATTAAAGAAGCTGAAGCTGGAGACAAGCAGGAAGTGGACAGCAATTGTCCAGAGGTGCAGGACTGGAGCTGAGTGCTCAGCGCTGCTCGGGGACCACAGCAAAGCAGGATAACTAGACAGGCCTCAAAGCTGGGGTCAGATGGCAGGGTGATGCTGACTGTGAGCAAAGTGAGAACTGGAGGTGGCCAAGGCCCAGGCCGAGCTACCTGAGCACTGGGAGCCTGTGTTCTTATCCATATTTCAGAATCCCTCTTAAAATTCCAAGGCAAAGATCAGTTTCAGGCTCATCTTGGATGAAGAGCCCAGGGACAGGGGACATGGAGAAATACAGGGAAATCTAGGAACAGATTTGAGGAGACATTTCTCTACTCCTCCAGGAGGGAGCAACGGGTGGCTGGGTTTCCACTAGAGCCCTGTGGCATAGACTTCTCAGGCTCCAGATACCCAGGGGCAAGAAAGGAAATACCTCAGGGGATGGGGTGCTTTTCTCCAGACAGAAGGACTTAGAGATCCACATTATAAAGGAGGAAAGACAAGAGCAGTAAAGCCGTGGCCTGAAGTATTAACTGCCCCCACCCTGGCCTTGATGAGTGTGATACTGTTCTGCTACCTTCATGCTCTCCAGAAAGACCATGGGGTCTGCATCTGAGACACCGGAAACCTAAGTTCACGAGAGGTAAAGACACAGATGAAACGTGTTAGTCAAGGCTCTAGTCACCTGGCTTCAGTGGGAACAATGGCTCGGTGGGAATGGGGAGCCTGGCCACTGGAGCACAACCATTCCTTTTCCCCCACCTCTGGGGATTAGCTCTTCTCTAAAGTCAAACCTACCCATCTGTGGAGACCCAGAACGTAATGCCTCCTGTTCCTCCTAACACCACGGGATTCCAGTCTGGCTACTTCCCAACCACCAAACATGTGGCCAGACAGCTTGGACTTTCTCATGGGAGGGGGCAATACCCAACTCCAACACTCAAACACTCGCTCTACTTTCCAGCTCACTGCTCTGGTGGGGAGGAGATGGACAATGCTTTGGTCCATCCAGCGGCCCATAAACTGCTTCACTTTAAGAAGCAAGTACAGGCTGTGCAGGGCTTGCATGCTATAATCCCTGAACCTGGGAGGCTGAGGTGGAGGATCTTGATTTACAGGCTAGCTTAAGCCACACACATAATAAAACCAAGCAACCCAACTGACTTTTCAGGGACTTCTAAACTCTACTGTAAGCAGCTACTTGGCATTCTAGCCTCACTGCTTGGGGGAGAAGCACAAAGGTCACGGGCTGGAACAGGCTCACCTCGACATCAGATCCTGCCAGCCCTTCCGCATTGCTTTTCAGGAGGGACCTGCAAAGAGGTGAAGTCAGCACCGACCCTCATGTCTGGATCACTAAATGATTCTAAAATTTTACGCATGAAGCCTTGAGGGTGTAACTCAGTGTTAGAGCATGTGTACACCCCTGGGTTCAATTCTAACACCATAAAAATAAAAAAGAAGTGAAAAAGAAAAGTCAGGTGCAGCACTGTCAGTCTGTAATGCCGCCACTTAGGAAGTGGAGGCAGGAGGATCAGGAGTTCAAGGATACTCTCTACATATCTAATTTGAGGCCAGCCGGGGATACATGAGACCTACACACACACACACACACACACACACACACACACACACACACCCCTCTCTGGGGTCTGGGGGGGGTGCAGTGTAGAGATATTTATAGGAATCTCACAGACCACGTAGTAATTTTCTTTTTTTCTTTTGGCATTTTGGAGACAGGGTCTCCCTGTAGCCCCAGCTGACCTGGAACTCACTATGTAGACCAGGATAGCCTCGAATGCACAGAGATCCGCCTGCACCCTTTACATATAAATCTTTTGTTTGGTTGGTTTTGGAGATTTTTTTGAGACAGAATTTCCCTGTACCTAGGCTGGCCCGAAACTAGCTATGTAGACCAGGTTGGCCTTGATCTCATAGAGATCAAGATCCACCTGCCTCTGCCTCCCAAGTGCTGTGCTGGGATCAAAGGTGTGTGCCACCATGCCCAGCTTAAATATAAATCTTTTTTTGGCGGGGGGGTCTTTTTGAGACAGGCTCTCCCTGTAGCCCCAGCTGTCCTTGAACTTACAGAGATCCGCCCGACCTCTGCCTCCCAAGTGCTGGAATTAAACTTTTAATAAGTAAACTCTTGGGGCTAGGGAAATGGCTTAGTCAGTAAAGTACCTGCTGTGTAAGGACAAAGACCTGACTTCGTATCCCCAGCACCCACTTAAAAGCTAGGTGTGGTCATGTATGTCTGTAACCCTAGTGCTGGGGGGGTGGTGTGCAGACAGGAGGACCCCTGGAGCTCCCTGGCCAGCCAGTCTAGTCAACTGCTAAGAACCAGGTTCAGTGAGAGACCCTGTCTCAACAGATAAGGTAGAGAGTGATAGTGGAGGATACCCAGTGTCTACCCCTGGCCTCCACATGCATGTGCATAAATGTGCAAAGAGACACACATGCATACATGTATACCACACACCACACTGTGTGTGTGTGTGTGTGTGTGTGTGTGTGTTATAGTTATAGCTAAGCTGGGCAGGGTGGCACATGTCTATAATCCTCCAGTATTCTGGAGGCTGAGGCAGAAGGATTGCCCCAAGTTTGAGACCAGTTCACTATGTGCTACATGGTCAGTACAAAGCCAGCCATGGTTACATAGCAAGACCCCACCTCCACCTCAAAGAGGGTGGGGGCTGGAGAGATGGCTCAGCAGTTAAGAGCATTGATTGCTCTTGCAGAGGGACCCAGGTTCGATTCCCAGCACCCACATGGCAGCTAACAAACCATCTGTAACTCCAGTTCCAGGGGTTCCGACGCCCTCTTCTGACCTCCCAAGGGTACTGCACAACACAGGTGCATGTACCTATATGCAGACAATACATGCATACACATAAAAAAAAATTTTTTTTTAACTTAAGAAAAACAAGATAATGTTGGGTGTGGTAGTGGTGCATACCTTTAATCCCAGCAGAGGCAGGACAATCTCTGTAAGATCGAGGCCAGCCTGGTCTACATAGTGAGTTCCAAAAAACTAAAATACAAAACAAAACTGCTAAAAACAGAGAGAAAAACGACTTGTCTGGCTGAGGGTGAAGGGAGGGTCACAAACTCACCTTCCTATGCAGCCCTCAGAGAGCAAGCAGACCCGAAAGCCACTGTGGCCCCTCAGCCAGTCCTCTCAGGGATAAGGAAACTGTAGCTCTAAGATGATTGTTACCCCAAGTAACAGAGGGAGGACTAGAAGCTAGGCTTCAGACTCTAGGCCAATGCTCTTTCACCCTGTCAGGTCATGTCAATAACCAGAGCTGGGGGAAGGGGAATTCCCAGCATTTATTGTGGGCATGGCCAATGGGAAGTGGGCTGGAGGCACAGGGCTGGGCTGAAGTGGACCAACTGGTGCTTACTTTGCCTTAGCCTTTGAAAGGAGCCACTGAGGTGCACCTGCTTTGTCTCTGGCATGTGAAGCTGGATCAACAGGCTTCTCAGGGAGTGTGGCTGCAATGAGGGAAAACAAGAAAGACACTGTTCAGCAACAGAGCACTGAGGTAGTGATGAAAAAAATGGTGAGTCCCACTCAGTTGTGTCCCCGAACTTCCCGCAGAAAGGGCAGCTTGCTGGCACCACAGGCAGGTCCTGACGTTACTCCTGATAAACCTGAATGGAAGGGGAGGTACATTTCCAAGTAGGAAGTCAATCCCAGATGCCAAGGAGGGCCAATGGAGAGCTCAACCACCTGTATTGCATGGGAAGGCAGGGGACACGCTGGCTTCTCCAAAGCCCAAACTGTACATTACAATACGTGGCTGTGGTTTGTGGGTTCCTGCTGAGAATCTAAGCCTCACTGTCCCTACTGAGCTCTACACATCCTCCAAGGCCTGCTCCTCTTTGTAGCAACGTGGACACAAAGAATATGGGGCTAATTGGGATGATGGCTCATGGCTATAACCTTAATGTGAGGGAGACTAAGGCAGGAGGATTTCCACAAGTTTGAGGCCAGCTTGGGCTACAGAGTAAGAGCTTGTCTCAAAAAACAAGAGAAAACAAAAGACAAAAAATAAACAAACGGGCTGGAGAGATGGCTCAGCGGTAAAGAACACTGGTTGTTCTTGCAGAAGACCCGGGTTCAAATCCCAGCACGTACATGGCAGCTAACAACTGTCTGTAACTCCAGTCCCAGGGGATCTGACAGCCTCTTCTGACCTCCGAGGGGACTGCACAACATGGGTGCGCTTACATGCAGGCAATATGCGCATACACATAAAAAAATTAAAAAAAGAAAAAAAACCCCAAAGCTAGGCGTGGTGGCGCACACCTTTAATCCCAGATCTCGGGAGGCAGAGGCAGGCGGATGTCTGTGAGTTCAAGGCCAGCCTGTTCTACATAGTGAGTTCCAGGCCACCTGGGGCTACAGGGAGACCCTGTCTCAAAAAAACCAAAACAAAACAAAAAACCCAGCTAGTGAAGCCTGGCTCAGCAAGTAAAGGTACTTGCCACCAAGACTGACAACCTGTGTTCAATCCCTGGAACCTTCATGGTAGAGAGAACCAACTCCCACAAGTTGTCCTCTGACCTCCACATGTGTTGTACATATATGCCCCCCTACTAAATAAATAAATGTAAATTTTAAAAAATTGTATTTATTATTTTTATGTGTATGCGTATATTGCCTGCATGTAGGTAAGTGCACCTGTGTCGTGCAATGCCTGTAGAGGTCAGAAGATGCTGTCGAATCCCCTGGAACTAGAGTTACGGACAGTTGTTAGCTGTCATGTGGGTGCTGGGATTCTAACCTGGGTCTTCTGCAAGAACAGTCAGTGTTCTTAATTGCTAAGCCATCTCTCCAGCCCCCAAATGTAAATTTTTAAAAAAGAATATATAAGGAACTCTGAGCTGCAGAACTAGCTCAGCAGCACAGCACTTACCTAGTATATGTGAGACCCTGGGTTCTACTCCCAGCACTGTACTTTTTAAAATATATGAAAAACTTATAATTCAATAAAGGGCCAGATAGACTAAACAAAATAGGCAAAGGCTCTGATAGACATTTCTCTAAAGATGACACAGAAATTGCTGATAATCAAATGAAAAGACGCTCACCATCATTAGGGAAACACACCTCCCAATCACAATGAAATACACTCACACTCACAAGGACAGTCATAGTCAAAATGATGGGGAAAGCTGAGCCTGGTCTCACAGGCTTGTGATCCCGGCTACTTGGGAGGCCAAGGAATGAAGACAGAAAGTTCAAGGGCTTCCCGGACTACCCAGTAAGTTGAAGTCCAGTCTGGGCAACTTAGTGAGGCCTTGTCACAAAATGAAAGGTACTGCTCAGTGGTGGAATGCTTGGCTGGCATGAATGAGGCTCTGGATTCAATCTTCAGCTCCATAAACAAACAAAAAATCCAAACAAACAAGAAAACACAAATCAACCCCCAAGCCCCCAAAGATGGGAAATAAGTCTTGGCCAGGGTGTGGACAAACCAGGGGCCTCTTACATTGCTGGTAGGAATGTAAAACAGTGTAGATGCTATGAAAAACTATTTGACTGTTTCTCAAAAAGTTAAAACAGGGTTACCATATGGCCCAGAAATTCTACTCTTGGTTTACATCCCAAACTGAAAACATCGGGGTGGGGATGTAGCTCAATTAACAGGGCGCTCCCCTTGCATGAGTGAAACCCTGGGCTTAATCACCAGCACCACAAACAACAAAGAACAGGAACATTTTTGTGTCCACACAAAATCTGTACATGAATGTTCATAACAGCATGACTTACATACAGTACCCTAAATATGGAAATAACTCAGATCCATGAAGTAATAAATGGATAGACATGGGTGCCTGAGGTTGAGGACAGGGGAGAGTGAGGACTGACTACCAAAAGGTATGAGGTTTGTTTATGGGGCAATAAAGATGCTCTGGAATTATGTGGAAGTGATGACATTGACTATTCTAAAGACCACTGAACTAGGGGCTGGAGAGATGGCTCAGAGGTTAAGAGCACCAGCTGTTCTTGCAGAGGATATGGGTTTGATTCCCAGCACCCACATGGTGGCTAACAACCATCCATAACCTCAGTTCTAGGAAAATACGACACCCTCTTTTGACCTCCACAGGCATTGTACAACATGGGTGCACTTACATACATGCAGGCAATACACTCAAATACAAAAAATTTTTAAAAAGACCACTGAACTACACACTATATTTTTTAATTCATTTTGTGTTTGATTGATTGACTGACTGACTGACTGATAGGGCCTTTACTTTGTATCTAGGCTGGCCTCAAACTCAAGGTAGTCCGCCTGCCTCAGCTAAGTACTAAGTACAAGGATTACAGGCATGGGCCATCATGCCTGGCTATCAAGTTTTAAAAATTATATTTATTTATTTATTTTGTATGTGAGTGTGTTGTGGGGAATCTGTACACTACAGTAACTTGTGGGAGTTGGTTTTCTCCCTCCACTGCTTGGTTTCTGGGGATTGAACTCAAATGGTCAGGCTTGGTGGTAAGTGCCCTTACTGGCTACTCTTACAGAGTCTAGGTTTGGTTCCTAGCACCCACATGACTGGTCACAACCACCTGTAACTCCAGTATCAGGGGAGCTGATGCCCTCTGTGGGCACTGCATATATGGAGCACATAAACTTGTGTAGGCAAACACACATACACATAAATAATTCTTCAAAAAAGCCACAGGGCTAGAAAGATGCCTTAGCAGTTAAGAGCACTGGCTGCTTTTGCAAAAGACCCATGTTCAAATCCCAGCATCCACATGGCAGCTAACAACTGTCCATAACTCCAGTTCCAGGAGGCCTGACACCCTCTTCTGACCTCTTTGGGCACTGCATGACAAGAGTGTACTTACATACATGCAGGCATAACATTCATACACATAAAATAAGTAAATAAAGAATTTATTAAAAAATATAAAGTCAAGGCTGGGTGTGGTGGCACATGCCTTTAATCCCAGCACTTGGGAGGCAGAGGCAGGCAGATCTCTGTGAGTTCAAGGTCAGCCTGGTCTACACAGTGAGTTCCAGGACAGCTGGGGCTACAGGGAGACCCTGTCTCAAAAAGACCAAAAAATAAATAAATAAAAAGTCCCAGGTGTACAGGGGTTCTGGGGAAGGAGTACTTACTATCATCCCCCAGGAGGTCACCAAGGACATCATCAATGGAGCCTGAAACACAAAAGGGCAGTCAGGACTTCAGGAGGAAAGAGTGGGGCTTATAAACCTCAAGTGTGAGACCTCTCCTCTGTCTCGAGTTCTAAGATCTCGGGCCTCAGGCTTGCTTCTACCTTCACTGCCAGACAATGTTTCCTAACTGTCTGCCAACAAGCCACAAATTCTTGTTGAAACACTTCAGGTGAAAGTTAATAGCTTTCCCAAAGGATGATGATGAAGATTTTCAGTAGAACTTTCTTTCGACCTGCCTCATGACATAGAGTACATGCATCAAGCAGTCTCTCAGCCTCTAAGGAGCCCAATGTGTTCTTCAGGAAAAGCATCCAGGGACATGGAAGCTTCTTTCATGGTGGTAGTACTTTGGTGCCCCTCCACCTGAGACCTCCTAGAATCAGACTGAAAGCCCCCGTCCCTGACCACTTTCCAATGGAGGCATGGGCAGGAGGGAGGTGGGGGATGTAAGAATACGGAATTAGCTCTACCAGCTTGTGTGCCTTTATTACCTTTCACTTCAACCACACACTCCTGAATTCAGAGCCCAATGTGGAAGATCTTTTTTTTTCTAAAACCTCATTGTTTTTCAAATACATTTTTTATTCATTTATTGGGGTGGTGGGGGTGTGTGCCATGGCATTTGTGTGGAGGCGAGAGGAAAACTTGTGGGAATTGATTGTCTCCTCCCACCATGTAGATCTCCGGGATCAAGATCAGGTTGTCAGGCTAGGTGGCAGGTGCCTTTACCTCTCCGGTCATCTCCATTCTCATTTCTTTGTTGTTGCTTTTTTTCTGTTTGGTTTAGTTTTTTGAGATAGGGTCTGCCTTGTAAGAGACCAAGATGGCTAGACTCAGGACAAGATGGGCCTGAACTTTTTTTTTTTTTTTTTTTTTTGTGAGACAGGGTCTCCCTGTAGCCCCAGCTCACCTGGAACTCACTATGTAGACCAGGCTGGCCTTGAATTCACAGAGATCTGCCTGCCTCTGCCTCCCGAGTGCTGAGATTACAGGTGTGTGCCACCATACCCAGTGGGCCTGAACCTTTAAGCAGACTACAGCCTCTGCTAAAAGGGGCAAAGCACTGAAAACAGCCTCACAGCCCTGTCCTGTGGAACACTGCAGTGACTAGCAGAAGACAGCTGGCCAGGTTAAAAGTTTATAGTCTCTTTGTTCTGAGAAAAACATCTTGACTTCCTTCATCTAGAGGTGAAAAATGGCCTAATCAATAACAAGTATGTGTGTACTTAAAATTAAGATGCCTAGGTTCATGGACCAGACATTAACCCTGGTCTTTAACAAACAACCCTCTGTTGACACTAAGGATTGATCAACCTATGTGACACATATGAGCACCCTTTGTCTTTGTCTAAGTTGAACTTTACATGTACCATGGACCCTGCATGTACCTACTAGCCCCTCTTTTGTAGATAAGCTTGTTATTAGAGAATAAAGTTGGCTTGCTTTAAAGAAACATAAGTCCCAGAGTTGGCTCTCTATCCCGGCCTTATCACCTTCACGGAGGCAAGGCTCCTCTACTAAGCAAAGCAGACTTGGGTCTCTGCAGCTGGTGCCAGAGAACAGGAACTGGAACAGGGACCCTCCCGGACCTTCCCTTCTTCGAGGGCGGTGCAATAATCATGGGTAATTCACTTTCTCAAGGTCTATTTCATTTTCAAGCTATTATTAAATGTATGCTAAAGTCTAGAAGTATTAAATGTACAAAAGCTCAGATTAAGGCCTTTTTAGATACTACTATAGAATGGAATCCTTGGTTTCCTAGTACAGGAACTACTGATTTAGAAACTTGGAAAAGAATAGGGGATAATGTACAGCATTGTCACAGGCAGGGCTTGACTATCCTGTCTGCTACTTTCGCCTCTGATGTGCTTTTTGCCAATGTCTCCAAACAGAAAGACCCCCTCCCCCTGCCAGCTCCTGCAGCCACCGCTGTGCAGCTGCCTGCACTCTCACCAGCTATGGAGCAGTGGCTGGTATTTTCTTCCGCCCCACCAGCCAGCATTCTCTCCAGCCATCCTCCTCCCTCGGCACCCTCCATGGCCTATGTTTCCTATACCTCGCCCTCTGTTTCTGACCCTGAATCTTTCCTTCCCATGCTTCAAAATCTGCTTCTGACCCTGAATCTTTCCTTCCCATGCTTCAAAATCTGCTTGCAGGAGACTTCCTCTAGAGAAACTCGGGCTCCATCACCACAGCCCTCCCCTCAATTCTCTCCAGTTAATATTCCAGCCAGCCCTGAGGCAGCTAACATCCCTGAGTTTAGGACGCATCATCGCTTTGGCTGTGAGACACTTGAAGGTATGCGTAAGGCTGTGATGGAAAATGGCATGCATGGTCCCCTTACTATGGCCATCTTTGACCAGCTTAGCTGCAAACTGGTCACCGCTTGGGACTTTATAAACACCTCGCCCAGGCTGCTGTCCCCGGGACAATGGCTCCTTTTTAAGTCTAAATACTACCACGAATGCACTGAGCAGGCAGAGAGCAATGCTCAGGCTAATGCTAATATAACAGCTGACATGCTAAACGGAGAGGGCCAATACACTGACGCTGAGGCACAAAAGGTTTTCACCGCTCACTATTTTGATCAGGTATGCCTCTACACCTTAAGAGCCTGGAGGGCTAATCTGGATGGGGAAACCGCCCCAGCCAGCTTAGCTGATCTCAAACAAAAGCCACAGGAGCAGTGGGCAGATTTCTTAGCCAGGGTCCAACAAGCCATAGAGGCTAAGGTCCCTTATGTGGAAGCCGCCCAGATTTAATAAAACAGCTTGCTTATGATGGTTCAAATCAAGAATGCAAAGCAGCAATTGCTCCAGTTAAGTCAGGCTTTGTCTTCTTGGGTGATGGATACTCAGCACATTGGCACAGCTTCAGCACAGGTTAGCATAATGGCAACTGCTTTAACAGAAGCTTTTGCTGCCCATATGAAAGTCCCATGTTTTAAATGTGGGAGTCTGGGTCACTTTATGAGACAATGCCCTTCAATTAACCACCAGCCTATGTCTAATCCCTCACTGCCAGGCTCAAGAGCTAAACCAAATACAAAATGCCCTAAATGTCAAAAGGGTTTCCATTGGGCTAAAGACTGCCGTTCTCTTTCAGTAAAAATGACAAATCTTTAAATGAGACATGGGGCAGCCCTCAGCCCTGCAACCAAGAGGGTCAACAGCCTCAATGGAAGTAAACTCCCCTTGGGTATTATGGGCCCGACCAGAAACATTTGCCCTTAAACCTATAACAACCCTAATAGTACAGGGAATTGCTAAAAGGGGCCTGTTAGATAAGGGAGCTGGTCAATCAATTATTAGACATGAGGATTGGCTATCACACTGGCCCACAAAAAGCACCCCCACCTCCCGGGAGTAGAAGGACCTACTTTTCACTCCAGTCTTTATATCCCCTACCATGGGAAGACCCACATGGGGTCTGGGGAACTTTTCAGCCATTTATCACCACAGGCATTAGCACCAGCTTCTGGGGAAGAGACATTGTGGGTGTCTCTCTCCTCAGCCCGAACCAAAAATTCTGAGAATAACTTTAAACAATCCTATGCTATTAGTAAAGCTTTTAAGCATCACCCCCAATTCTAAAGGCCACTGCTCTGCCGCTTGAGCCCATAAAACTTCAATGGATAGCTGATGACCCTGTTTGGGTGGATCAATGGCCTGTTCCTAGTAATAACTTCCCTCATTTACAGGGTCTTATACAAGAACAATTAAATAAAGGGCATTTAGAGCCCTCTAACAGCCCCTAGAACATTCCTGTATTTGTTAATACAGAAAAGACTCATGGAAAATGGAGATTTTTATAAGATTTAAGAAAAGATAATGCCACTATGAAAAAGATGGGATTGCTGCAGCCATGCCATTATGATTACTGCTATAAAAGATTGTTTCTTTTCCATTCCTTTACGTCCTGACGATAGAGAGCGTTTGCTTTCACTATTTCTCTTAACAATCACTCTGTTCCCACTCAAAGGTATCAATGGAAAGTCCTACCACAGGGAATGAAAAATAGTCCTACTATATGTCAATTTAAAAATATATATAAAATTTATTTATTTATTTATTTTTTGGTCTTTTTGAGACAGGGTCTCCCTGTAGCCCCAGCTGTCCTGGAACTTACTATGTAGACCAGGCTGGCCTTGAACTCACAGAGATCTGCCTGCTTCTCCCTCCCAAGTGTTGGGATTAAAGGCCACCACACCCAGCCTATTTTATTTATTTTTATATGTATGAGTGTATTGTCTGCATGTAGGTAAGTGCACCTGTGTCATGCAATGCCCACAGAGAACAGAAGAGGCCGTCGGATCCCCTGGAGATGGAGTTACAGACAGTTGTTAGCTGTCATGTCGGTGCTGAGATTCAAACCCAGGTCTTCTGTAAGAACAGCCAGTGTTCTTAACCACTGAGCCATCTCTCCAGCCCCACTATATGTCAATTTTATGTACATAAATTAGTCCAATATTTAAAGAATTCCATTCTTGTTGTTCCCTATATGGATGATATTCTCCTCAGGCACCATTTCAGTCAGCTTTTAGAAGTTATGCTTGCTAAATTAACAACTGCTCTGGGGAGATATGGACCTTATATCTCCTCAGAAAAGATTCAAAAGCATGCACCTTATACTTACTTAGGATATGTTATTCTAGATAATCAATTATACCCTACCACCCCAGCAACAGAGCTGCCAGATCCTTGTACTTTACACCAATTACAACAATTTATGTGGCATCTAAAGTGGTACAGGCCTTCTCTTCATCTTACTACCATGCAACTAAGTCCTCTTTTCCATCTATTGGAAGGGGACTCAGATCCTAACTCTCTTAGACATTTAAATACAGATGCTAAACAAGCCTTAGCACTGGTAAATAAAGCCCTCACCAAATAACAGTAAATAGAGTTAATCCTCAAAAGGATATCCAAACTCTTATAATTCCAAACATAGAACAACCGTTAGCTATTATATTTCAGGAGCCT